GATTAAAATGAGACCTCTCCCAACTCCACATGACCTTTCTTTGCAAAGTTATAGAATTTACAACAAAAGCCCTAAATGTTCATTGTCGAGATGATTATAATTGGTGGGATGATGATACAAAAGATTATCAAATAGGATGGAATGGATTATTAAATGATACATTTGTTAATGATGATAATAGTACAAAACGATGTAAAACACCATGGTGTTATCAGGTTTGTTTGTTTTTCATATATTAAAATTCTATAAAAAAAAATTCATCTTTTATTTTTTCCGTTTTTTTAGAGTAGTGCTCGAACTAAAAGTGGACCATTGACTGCTATTTATACAACTTATAAGGGTGGTGGTTATTTATTTACATTAGGACGAACATATGATAAAGCAAAAGTTCTTTTAGAAGAATTAAAAAATCAAAAATGGTTGGATCAACTTACACGTGCATTAGTTATTGAATTTTCATTATATAATGCAAATGTAAATTTATTTGTTAGTGTAACAATGTCATTAGAATTTACATCAATTGGTTCAAGTATTAATGATTTTAAAATTAAAGTATTTCGACTCTATGATCATTTAGGTGGTTATGCTATTATTGTTATAATATTTGAAATATTCTTTTGTATATTTACAATCTATGCTATTATTCATGAAAGTTTACTTATTGTTAAACAAAAAAAATTATATTTTAAAAAATTTTGGAATTTACACAGTTTTATTACAGTTGTATTTAGTATAGCGGCAATGTTTATGTATGCATCAAAGAAAGCGTTAACAAGATAGCCATACGATCATTAAGAAAAACAGAAATGGGTATATTAAAAAAAAAAATTGAAAAAAAATAAACAAATGTTTACAATATTATATTTCTTTTCATTTAAGGTGCATTTGTTAATTTCAATACAATTGGAAGTTTTGATGAAGTCTACAGTTATATTGTTGGTTTAATAACATTTCTTACAATGTTAAAATTTTTAAAATTATTACGTTTTAATAAACGTGTTGGAATGTTATCAGCAAGTTTACGTTATGCACGTCGTGATCTTGGCTCATTTTCATTTGTATTTATGATATTTATTTTGGCATATGCACAATTTGGTTTTGCTCTTTTTGGTCGATCAGTAAGTTCATTTAAAAGTTTTTTTACATCATTAACAACATGTTTTCGAATGATGTTGGGCGAAATAAATGCACAAGAAATGGTTAATATGAGTCATCTCTATGGTATGTATTCTCTCTTCAATTATTATTATAAATTTCTTTTTCTATCTCTGTAATCTCTAGGTACATTTTATTTTGTTTCATTTCTAATGCTTGTATTTATTGCATTGATGGGAATATTTTTAACCATACTCAATGATTCATTTGCTTATGTTAAACATGAATTGGCAAATAGTCAAAATCAAAATGATATGCTCGAATTTATGTGGGGAACATTTAAAAAATTGGCAGGTTTTAGTCGAAAAGAAGATGTAGATAACAAAGAACTTGTTGAAATGCACAAAAAACAGCAATTAAAAGAAGCTTTAAAAGAAGTAGCAGCAAAAGATCCTGAAAAAGTATTGCATATAGCACCATTGGCTATTTTCAATGATATATAAAAATATTCAAGCACGTACATTGAAAAACTATATATATATATATTTAAAATTCATTCATATTTAGACTTCATTTCATTATTCTGTATATTTTCATTTTATTTCAGAATAAAATCAGTTCATACGATGAACGTATTAGTACTAACAGTGTTCTTACATTCTTTTCTAAAGAAAACTTATTCAACAAATCACCTGCTTCCAAAATCTAAGTTCACTGAATAGCTAGCCATTCTTAAAGTAATAATAATTTACAAAAAATTTTATTTTTAAAAACTAAGCGTACAAAATACTAAATAAATGAACACATTTTATACAACAAAATACTGTTCGATGAATAATAAAATCGTTCCAAATAATTTAATCGGTGAAAATGTTTTAATATCACTTTTGATAAATTTCTTTGACATTTTATTTGAACGAGATATTTTTAATTCTGTTACATGTTCGGATGAATACATAGGAACATAACTTGGTGGATTACAAAATGACTAGAAACAGAAACACAGAACAAAAGACGTCACTATATTAAAGAAAGTTGTTACTATACTATTTACCGATCGGAATTTGAAAAATTCATAATAACCCCCATCTAATAAAAATAATTTCGGAAATAATAATTTTGGATACATATCAAAATTATATTCACGATCTAATTGACGAAATAATCTCATCATTTTAGGACCACGTTCACCAGAAAATTCACAATGAAAAACAATGTCAACCTCTTTTTGACTAATAACCATATCATTAAAAAAATCACGAATCATATCTTCTGTATATAAATTAATGGCATCTTTAATATGACCACCATTAAATTCAAATGAATAACGGCAATCGATCAGTATTAAATTTCCTGTTTTTTCCTCCATCATTTCACATAACTAAACCAAATAAAATATTTATGACCGTAATGCAGAACTTAAAATATCCCCATGAAGAACCTCCAGTGCCATCAGTGATACAGCATGGATTGGTTGCTGTGTTTCAATGCACGAACTTCATAGGTATTCGATCTTCACCACCACCATGCCGTCTAATAACCTTGGGCGTTATTATACTGTTTCACATCACCCGTCTAATTACTCGACGCTTCCACCTAGTTAGTTTCAGACTCAGATAACTTCAACGGAACATTTTCACATATAACTTGCCGATACCGATGATTTGTACACGGTTCGATAGACCACAGTGAGGTAGTAAATACCCTAAAAGGATTGTAGTCCGCAGATTTCTGATTAAAATGCGTCCCCAAACTCTACACGACCTTTCTTTGCAAAGTTATAGAATTTACAGGAAAAAGCTTTAAGCTAACAAACTTGAAATGAACAAAACTGAACATTTTCATCAAAAATTTTATGGGCTGCAATCAATCCTCATTAGAAAAAAAGGTTTGGGTTATTTTTCGTGAGTTCGTGAAAAACTGGTTTTTCAGAAAAACGGGTCTGCAAGAGCCATGAGCACGAATCCTTTTAGGATATTTACTACGTGAATTAGGTCTATCGTTCCATGTACAAATCATTGGAATCGAAAGGTTACATCTCGAAAGCTTGCCTCGTTAGTACAATTATGGATACAGTCGATATTGAGTGACTTTTGCTAAAATAAAATGATAATCGAATAGTAAAACACATGTACTTGTGTGAAAGATAAAAAAATGAAAATTTATTTTATACTATGCAGATGACTGAAATTTAAACTTACCATATTTGCATTTAAGCGAATAAGATCAGGATGTTTTCTACGATTGACGAACGGTTTGATACACGACATTTGTTGTTGAGAAGAATGAATTCTGTCTTTGCCTCTTTATTCCCAAAATATTTTGTATGAGAAACGTGTTTCTCTCATGCATTATATATTATATTTTATTGTGTACAATTTTTAATTGAGAAGAGAAAAATATTTCCTGTTTTTACACTTAAGCTCATTGTTTGATGACTTATCAAACGCTAATCTTAATTTTTAGATGATTTTTGTTACTCTCATACACATTTGAAAATGAAGATGAAATATGAAACCTTTTTTCAAAGAAGCAACTGCCAACAACTTTACTTTATATATTTAAATTATATTTCTTTATTATATGAAATACAAAGAGTAAAAAACATATTAACTTTTCTATTACATGTACTGGAACAGTAGAGAAAAAAAATAAATCTGCCAACTTTTTTGTTATAAAAAAAAAAATAAATGTAATTGTACTTCTTTAATTTATTTTTGATATGTTCTTAAATACAATGATGGAACATCAAAAGAGTTTCTTTCGACATACGGTATTCATCCAGAATTTTTTAAAAAATAAAATCATGAATTTTCGAGCACAACTCTAAATTTGAAAATTTCTTAATAATAAATAATAGAATTATCACGAAAAGTCCGAATAATACGAGAAAAAATTTGAAAATCTATTGTTGCAAAAGTTTCTCAACAATTTTCAAGACTCAGCCAGAAATATTAATCCTGATTTAAATGGATTACTTTAACCACTCACGAAACTATTATTTTCTTCTCACTTCCACTTTTAAAAGAAAATTCAAAGATAAGATAATATGCATCTCTTTGAATAACTCAGTAATGCAAAGAGATATTCCGAAACGGTTTTCGTCAGTTTGTATCCAAGTCCGTGGAACATCGAACTATAGAAGATGAAAATTTTCGACCGGGTTTCTAGAGAGTTTTGAGATGGATCTTTAGAAAACCACAATGATTTTCAAGCATGCAATATTGGATTTTCATTTTTAACACATGTATTCGATAGAGAAAATTGTACTCTTTCGAACTAGTTAAGCCGGTGTTTCTAGCTTGTTCCGTTCATGAGTTATAAGGGTTTTCCAGAGACCTCCGATTTCGGCCAGTTGTTCCTCGATCAACCGAAAACAGGTCTAGAGAGAGG